GTCTGGTGTCAAGCACCCGAAACTCAGGACTTGGTCCCTGTGAGCTCCAAAGCTGGCCAAGGGAGCATGGTTTTGAGCCCCCAAAGTGCAGGACTTGGTCTGTGTTTCTGAGCCGAGCCATCAGCCCAGTGAGTCACCTCATGTGAAGACTTCCATACATGGGACTTCGTTTCTAAGCTCTGAACCTGCTTTTGAGCAGCAAAACACAGGACCTGGGCTCTCTTTGAGCCCCACAACAGATCACATGAGCAAGGCTCCAGACTCCAACACGTGGGGCTTGGTCTCCATTTCTGAGCCCCAAATCTGGTTTCCTTGACCCCAGTTTTGAGCCTGCAAACCGCAGAACTCGGTCTCTGTGTCTGAACACAAAGTGGCCCCAGCAGCCGGTTGGTTTCCAGACTCCAACGCTCAGGACTTTATTGCTCAGCTCCGAGCCCAGTTCCAGGCCAGGCTCAGCACTCAGTCTCCCCTCTCAGTAATACAGGGTTAGCCAATGTACGAGGGGGTTGTACAAGGGGGTTAGAGGAATTCAATTGCTTAAACAAAAGTATTGTCTGTACCTATCATGCCTACTAAGCAGAACAAAGGCACTAATGATTGATAAGGAAAAGCAGACACCTGGTTCTATTGACAAGGAAAAGCAGAGGCCTAATTCTACTGATAAGCAGCTATTGATAAGGAAAAGCAGACACCTGAAGGGGGAGAAGCAGATGGTTTATGGCTGGGACACCGACCAAACCCTAAGGCCATATGTGAAAACTAAAAGGTGGAAAGTTCAAGAAAAGGAAGACTCATTTACTTCATCTTGACCAGATGAAGCCCATGACCAAAGGGGGTACTGCGCAGGCGCAAAGGACCTTCTAACTCATTATAATACGAAGCAGGGATAGGACATGAATATGTATAGGCGTATTGTGCAACCTTATGAATATATATAACTTTAGAGAATAAATGTAGAGGGAAACAACACTGAGGCACCCATGACTTTGAGGAATTATCCCCGTGCGTCTCAGCGCTGAATAAAAAGCATACCTACTTTACAACTTTTAATGAGTTGTGGAGTCAATCCGCGTATCACCAGGACCAGGCCACGTGTGCCGGAGCCCAGGTGCCCTCCCCGCAAGCAAGCCCCATGCTCTCAGTGTGAAATACGAACTCACTCCTCTAAACGAGATAACAAAGTTTTATTGAGGGACAAAGTCAATAAAACAAAAGCAACAACGCTGGGCGCATGACCGTAGCCAGAGGCGCAAGTGATTAGTATTTGTTACAGGTTTATATACTTTCACTGTTACATTAGTTACATACATATTCATAATTCCCACATATAGGCAGGGGATATTGTAACTAGCTTCAAGAATTTATTATCATAAGTCTCCTCCTTTTGGCATCTGCGCACTGCTCTGCAGTGATTGTGGGCAGGGGTCTTGAGGATGAAGTAAACAGTCTTCCTCTTGTGAGTAGGGTTCTTCAAGATGAAGTAAGCAGTCTTCCTCACAGTGTACTTTTCACCTTTGGCCCAGTTGGACCCCCCAGTAATCACACAACCAGCTATATCTGTCATTATTCTGATAACTAGCAAAGATTTAGAACTGTGTGCTCTTCCTGCAAAATTTATTGCAGGATGGGCAGACAAGGAGTCTCCCAAGCTAGCAGATGTTTGGGAGGCTCTGCCTCTAACTGATAAGTAGAAGGATGGTATGAAATAACTCATTCATGTTTAGTGGGGCCACTAAATCCTGTTATCTCACCACAGATTTACAACACAAACATTGTTCTTTAAAACTAAAGATACTTTAGAAGACTAGTGTGAAACAATTAATTCATGTTTAGTGGGGCCACTACATTCCACAGACTTAACAACATAAACATTGTTCTCTTTCTACAACCTAAGTTTAGCTAAAAAAGTACTTTATGTTTTCCCAGGCACTAGCTTACCTTATATCAAGCTTCACCCCCCCCTTTCTGTTACCTTTACAAATTCTTTTGCTATGTGACTCTGTTTTGATCAAGAGATCTGAACCTTTTTAACTTATTGTCTAGTCTTGTGTCTTTATCGAGTTTTGTTTCTGTTATTGTAAACTCGTACAGTTATACCCACGTAAACACACCTGTGATTTGTGAAAGCCAATACATTTATGTTTTTAGCACATCGGGAAGCCCCGGGCAGGCCCGGAGCCAGTTCCAGCCCTGCAGGGCTCGGCTCTCCCGGGGAGCGGGGCTCGGAGCCCCCGCCAGCCACGTCCTGGGAGCACGGGGCTCCCCGAACTCGGGCCCGGCTCTACTGAGCTGCAGCCCCCGCTGGAGCCCTAAAGGCCCCACTCACCGAGCCCGGCCGGGGACCGGGAAAGAAACGGTGACCTGTAGACGGCGAGGGTAAGAGCGCCAGATTCCGTCAGTCCGGGCTTTATTCCCCGGGACCCGGAGGCCCCAGCGCCCCTGACTGTACCAGAACCAGCTGCCCCCGCACCAGCACCCCGGCCCCCACCATAGGCATCACCCCGCCCTCCCCTTTTATAGATGAAACTCCGCCCCCCCTCCCCCCCCTCCCCGCCCCGTAATTTCACAAGTCGTGCTCCTGCGCTGGGGTTTTTTCGGGTCCGACTGCCAGGCTGCTCGCCCATCCCGCCCTCCCCTGGCCTCCCCGCAGCCACGTCACCTGCAGCCGCGGTCCCCGTTCCCGGCTCACTGCTTTTCCTTCCTCCATTCCCGGGCAGTACACGCGGAGCTGGACTGAAAGCTCTAGCCAAAGCCCCGGCAACGCCAGCTCCGGTTTCCACCACGACCGCTCCTCTCTAACCCCGGCTGTGGCTCTCGGCAGCAGCTTCTCCCCGCGCCGCACGGCCACGCCACCTTCCACAGGCACCCATCCCCGCCCCTGGCGTCAGCCGGAGCCCCACGGGGCCGGTTCTGGGCAATGACCCTCTTACGGAGCTCCCCGAGCAGCAAAGCCGGGGGCAGTCCGGCACCGATGGACGCCCCTATGCTCCCGGCTCCCGGGTGGGCTTTGTGTGCCGGGAGCTGATGCCGCTGCAGGACGGCCCCGGCTGTGCGTGTGTCCGTGCTCCCAGGAAGAACCGGGCGGGGCTCCATCCCCTGGGGAGGACTCAGCGCGCTCCCGCCTCGCTTCTCTATCACATCACCCGTGTGTCCCCGGGCGCAGGTCACAGAAACCCCAGTGAACCTCAGAACCGCTCTGCAGCACCAGCTCCGCGGCCCCGCGTGTCCCGAGTCCCTCAGCCCCTCGGCGCGGTGCCCGGGGTCCCGCAGCAGGGTCCCGGAGAGCCGTGTGACGAACCAGCGTCCCTGGGCCGGGGCACAACCCATGGCGGCTCCTCAGGGATGGTGGGCACAAGGCGACGCTTTCCATGGCCAAACACAGCAGCGAGGAGCCTGTTCGGCTCAGGCTGATCCCGCAGTCCCGGCACCAGTACTTTACCTTGCTACCTAAACCTCCATCTCTGGTTTAGCTCACTGGACAGCACTCTCAGGTAGCTGACAAACCAGCTCCCTAAGTCCCAGTGTCCAGCCCCTGCTCCTAAGCCTAGTGTGTTAGGATGAAACCAGGAGCTGGGCATGTCCTACACATGGTGCCCTCCGGAACAGTGCCACCAACACGGACATCCTCACTTACCACCTAAAACTCCATCTGTGTGAAACCTCACTGGACAGCACGCTCTGGTGACTGAGAAACCAGCTTCCAAAGCATGAACGTCCAGACCCTGATCCTAAGTGTAAGGTGCCAGGACAGAAAGCTGATGCTGGGCATGTCCTACACATGGTACTCTCTGGAACAATCCCACCAACATGTCAATCCACCCTTGCTTGGATACCTAAAACTATATCTGCTTACCCCCTCTGTAGAGTGCTATCAGGTGTCCTGGAGAACAGCTCCCAAAGTGCAAATGTCTCCAGTCCCTGCTCCTACACCTAAGGTGTCAGAAGAATATCCTGGTGCTGGACATCACCTACATGGTGAGATTAGGAAGAGTGCTACCAACATGGGAATCCACCTTAGCTGGACTGGGATGGGCTGGGCTGGGCACTTTCTCCACTATCGGTTAAGATGAAGTTCTTCCAAATGTACTCTTCTTATGTCTCCTGCGAGATACTTTCTTAATTGCTTTTTGTTTTCAATATAAATTCTTTTCCTCAGAAAATTAAGACAAATCTTTTCTTTGCCACCTGTTCAGAGAAGATCCAGATTTGTTATTCATTCACATGACATACCATGGTCTGAATTTTAACACACTGAAAATTATTTCAACCATCAAGGCTGTGTGAAAAATGAAGAAGAGAATGAAGATTGGTTTGATGCTAAACAGAACTTGACAGTAGCAAATTCTTCAGTAATAGCCAAAGACACAAAAAAGCAACAAGAAGAACAAGACACAGTTGATTTAAGAGGTGAGGTTGTGAGCTTTAAGCTGCTGTACCTAATAATGGTGTGTGTTGGTTATTTGAGTATTCTGATCCTTCCACAAGCATAAGTAAACTTGGAAAAAAATGCTAGCTAGGTTTTCAGATTCTTTTTCATTGACTTGCCATGAATCCTTGTACAGATATTCAGCTCCCTTCATCCACAGTTTTGCTTGAAAACTTCACCTACAGTGGTTAAACTCAATTTAGTAAATTTCCAGCCAGTCACCTAGCTGGAAATCTTTCTTTTTTTTTCCCTATTCCTCCTCTTTCTGCTCCCTTCTCCGCACTGACTTCTGAAGAGGGAATGGTCTGTGTTTGGATGCTTGGGTCCCAGTGATGGGCATAGTTAGAAGTCCCAGTCTGTTGAAAGCAGAGAGCTTGTGGGGACTTGGAGTACACTGCCCATGCTTTAGCACTGGTACCCGTTAGTTTAGACCAGCGTTTTCTCCGGTTATACCTCTTCTGCCTCTTCAAACCTCAGAGAATACTCAGGAAAAGCAGATCTCACAAACGGAACTATTCTGCTTCTCAGGATGCTTGTTTTCTGTAAGAAGATACTCATACAGGTTTTTAATAGGTTTTTCATCTATGCTGTCTGAAATCTACTGAGATGTTAGCTTGAGCTGGAACAAAAATAGTAACACTTTGCTTTCTTACATTCATTGTTAGAAGCAAGGAGTGGAAATGAGTATTCTTTTGTTTGTGTTGATGACCTAAATTCCTCAGTGTCAGAGGTATGTCTGTTCTTATTTACACAGTGCAGTAATGTCTTGCCTCTTTCTGAATTCTTTCATATTATACACTTGCCACAGAATATTCTTCTGTTTTGTAGGCTGATCTAAGATCACATTTCCAGAAGTATCATATTTGTGACATTCTTGTCTCTGCGGAATCTAATAACTGCAGGTATATTAATGGAAGTTTTACTTGTTTCAGATTATTTTTTTTTTCTGTCAAAGTAAGCAAATCATGGGAGAGAGGACGTAGTTGTTCATTCATTTCAGTAATTAACAGAGATATAGATAGGTCGACAAAAGCTTGTCATTCCAGACAGATTTTCACCTTATGAGAAGTTGAGCCTGAAATTTTCCGTTGAGTTTAATGGAGATACAGTTAATGCTCAAAAGCTGAGAACTGTCATGTGTTATTACTGAGAGTAGTTTAATGTGCTTTACTTAGTTTCTTTTTTCTTTTTTTTTCTTGAATTTTATGCCTTAGATGCGCGCTTATTTCCTTTAAAGACATTAGTAAAGCCAAGTTAGCTGTAGAGGAAATGAACCAGAAAAAGATAAAAGGAAAAGAAATAACTGTTAGAATTGTAAATACTGTATCAGAGAGTAAATATATGGTTTCCCAAGTGCTTAAAAATAAGCTTTTGCTTGAAACCCAACCGGCTGAGAAGGGTCAGAGAAATGATCAAAGTAACACACTCACTTCAGCCTCCAATGCTGTGGAAGCCCCTGTCACTGCTTCTGTTTCTGAGAAAATAGCTTCTTCAAAAACCTCTTGCTCTACACATGTACCTTCAGAAACAAAGTGCCCTGATGGGAAACCATCTACTGAAGATCCTTATTTGCTTGAAGTTAAACAAAAAGTAAATAATTATTACTAAGGATCCTTCATATGGCAAATCAAGAACTTTAAAACTTCTTATCTTGTAACATGTTGCATTTAATGTATAGAGAATGATGTTAGGATAGGAAAACACATAATGAATTCCTGGCATGCTGCTGCAGAAGAGTGAGAGCACCAGTCATGTGCTTCTGCATCAAACTCTGATACTCCATGTAGTTTTTCTTAATCCTAACCCAGCTGGGAACCTAGTAATCTGCACTGAGTTTTCATCTTGCTTTTCTCCTCTTTTGAGTTTCCACTGGTAACTCTTTTTTTTGAAAGTGAACGTCCTGTAATGTGTCCTGGGTTCAGCAGTAGCAGTCATGTTTCTCTTTCTTGGTAGCTGGTGCAGTGCAGTGTTTTGACTTTCGGCCTGGGAACAGAACTGATAGCAATGTTTTGGTTTGGCCAAGGACTTTGTGAGCCTCATGCTCTGCCAGGGAGGAGGGGAAGCCAGGAGGAAGCAGAGACAGGACACCTGACCCAAACTGATCAAAGAGGTATTCCATACCACAGCACGTCATGCCCAGGAGGTAACTGGGAGTTAGCCGGAAGGGCTGGGAGACTGCAGGGTTGGAGGAGGTATCGGTCGGTGCTTGGTCGGGCTGAGGGGGGGCAAGTTATCAGTTGGCTGGTGCTGAGGTGTTGTATTCTCTTCCCTTGTTATTTCCTTTATCATTATTATTATTGGTGGTAGCAGTAGTGATTTATGTTATACCTTAGTTACTAAACTGTTTTTATCTCAACCCGTGGGAGTTGCATTCTTTTCGATTCTCCTCTCCATCCCTCCGGGAGCAGGGGGAGGGCAAGAAAGGGGGGGGAGGTGAGCGAACGAATTACCTGACTGGGTTTAAACCATGACAGTTCTTTTTGGCGCCCAACGTGGGGCACGAAGGGTTGACATAACAACAGATTTGACTGGATTAATAGTCACTCGTCACAATGCTGATTTATTGGCTCTCAGAGTTGTTCTTGTTGATCTCACAGCTTCAGAATGTTGTAACTTACTTAGAGCCGGTATTTGCTGTGTTAGTGTTTATCAAGTGTGGGGCCTGGGCTAAGGTTCTTGTCTCACTGTGCTTTATGGCAATGGCTTGTAATACGGGCGGGCTCCAGCAGCAGGGCGGGACGGACGTGGCCGTGGACTTGTACCTGGCCGTCCGGCTGCTCTTCACCGTCCTGGCCCTCGCCCTACTCTCCATCTTCGTGAGGCTGCGGGGAGCCGAGGGGGAGCGGTCCCGGGAGCCGGCGGCAGCCGAACCGGCCCGGGAGAGCGGCCCCCGGGACCAAGCGGCGGCGGGAGCGGGGCCGGAGGCCGCGAGGGGACGGCTGCCGGTGGAGGAGGCCGGGGCGGTCGAAGAGAGGAAGGAAGCGGCTGCCGAGCAGCGGGAGAAGGCGGCGGAGGAGCCGAGCCCCGCGGCCGAGCCGAGCCCCGCGACGGCCGAGAGCATCCCCCGGCAGCCGCCCGCCGAGCCCCAGAGGATGCAGGAGACCACGCAGCATTTCCCAGCAAGGCAGAGGAGGAAGAGCTGGACTCAGAGAAGCTGGTGGTGGGAGAGCCGGCAAGCACAGCAGCTACACCAGCCCCAGTGACAAGTACAGCAGCATCGTGTGAGAGTTCTGAAGGTTTTGAATGGCCTTTGGGTATCCTTGGGACCTGCCTGCTGATTGTGATGGGGATCAGCATGTTGGCACACACACAGACTGTGTGCTACCCACCACCATTTTGTCTGATCTCAAAAGTTAAGCAGAGTCAGGTTTGGGTCTTGTCTGGGGTTAGATGACGATTCAGGGGGACCAAGAGGTTTTCCCCAAGGCTGGACAGTCATGAGTGGCAGGGCGTGTGTGACAGTATGGGCAAGTATCTAGTCCACTGGGCCCCTCCAGTGCTTTGGAAGCATCGGAGATGGAAGGCAGCTGTATGGAGTCCCCAGCAAGAAGCTGCAGAAACTGCTGAAGGGGACAGTGAATTATTTTGAGCCTGGTGGGCCCATGGCACTTCAGGCCATCAGAGCAGAGATGCAAAAGAGATGGACTCATGATCGAGGGGTGGACTTAGCAATGGACACTATTGCCCAGGTTATTCACAAGTGTGAACACTGCACACAGTCTCTCCTGCTCTGGAAGACTGTTACAAGAGATGGAGCCTGACATGGACCAGATGGACACAGCAGCTTTATAGGGACTGGTCCATGCACTAAGATAAGAGTGCACCGAGATAAGAGTGATGGTATATTGAAAATGTGGGATCTGAGCATGACGTGAATGGTATAGAATAAGGGGTGGATAATGTCCTGGGTTCAGCAGTAGCAGTCATGTTTCTCTTTCTTGGTAGCTGGTGCAGTGCAGTGTTTTGACTTTCGGCCTGGGAACAGAACTGATAGCGATGTTTTGGTTTGGCCAAGGACTTTGTGAGCCTCATGCTCTGCCAGGGAGGAGGGGAAGCCAGGAGGAAGCAGAGACAGGACACCTGACCCAAACTGACCAAAGAGGTATTCCATACCACAGCACGTCATGCCCAGGAGGTAACTGGGAGTTAGCCGGAAGGGCTGGGAGACTGCAGGGTTGGAGGAGGTATCGGTCGGTGCTTGGTCGGGCTGAGGGGGGCAAGTTATCGGTTGGCTGGTGCTGAGGTGTTGTATTCTCTTCCCTTGTTATTTCCTTTATCATTATTATTATTGGTGGTAGCAGTAGTGATCTGTGTTATACCTTAGTTACTAAACTGTTCTTATCTCAACCCGTGGGAGTTGCATTCTTTTCGATTCTCCTCTCTGTCCCTCCGGGAGCAGGGGGAGGGCAAGAAAGGGGGGGGGAGGTGAGCGAACGAATTACCTGACTGGGTTTAAACCACGACATAATGTTATACAAGAAAGATTTTGGGATACTGGAGGGGCAACTATTGGGGGTTTTAATATAAATCTAAGAAACATCTCTGTTTTAGTATTTTATATTTGCCCAGCTTGGTCCTTGGAGGATAAGGCAGTTAGTAATTGGTGGTGCTGCTTTCATAAACTATACAGATATGCTACCTTTGGGGATTTAGCTTTTAAACTTGCTAGTCCCCTGGGAAATGTATATCTGATCTAATTCAAAGTAGTGGAAACGTCAGTTACACATAAATGCATGTAGTAGTTTTATTTCTAATACATCATCTATCCAACCCAACCCATTCTATGATTTACAGATTGGATAATGTGACTGGTTGTATTAGAATAATTTATTGAGCTGAATCTATATCTGTAATTTTTTTTCTTTCTCCATAACAGGAATATTTATTAGTAGTAAAGAGATGTATTACTTGCAAAAATGAGTTAAATATTGTACTTAGTTAAGGCAATTCCAGGATACTGGAGAAAACTTCCTGTTTAAACCATTTCCTTATTCCAGTAAGTCATATGATGTCTTTGTTTTACCTGTTAATTTGAACTTGAGCAGTTTTACCAAATAATTAACAAACTTAGAGGACTTCATCCACAGGCTAGCAGGTGAGAGGATTTGGATTTCCTTTCCGCCCTGATTTCTGATGGATCAAATATCCATGGTAACTAAGTCCTAAACATATTGCCCAATGTGTTACGTGAACAGTTCTTTCTTTTATTCATCTAGAGGCACAATTTTGGCTGCTTTGCTGGAGGTGAGGAAAAACAACAATGGTATCCTAAGTGGCTTGTCCATTGTGGTATTCCATTGTGGCAAGGACCTCTGCCATTCTAAGGAAATCCAGTAAATAAGTGGGTATTCTAGCCTACAGAAATACATTGAAATACCTCCCCTCTCCCCCTGAATTTATGTACAATTCACTACACAAATTTAGTACAGCCTGAGTAGATTAGTAAGTAACTTACTATAAAGCTCTGAAAGAAGGATGTGAATGAATCCACGGAAGCAATAGCTTCTCAATATTGCTAACTCTTTAGCAGAACATCTGTAAACAATCTGGCTTGCTAGCTCTGTGCACTCTTTAAGTATATCGCTGGGTTTATTATGTCAACTATGGTATTGATTAACTTGGCGGAGACTAACATATTCTGTACAAAGCTGACATCTAATGGCCAGTCCTTGTGTAGCAGTTCATAAAGAGCACAGCACAAGCTCAATTTTGGTTTAAAACTTGAGGATTTCTCTGATGGATGAGTTCTGGAGTAGAAATCTTAACAGAATAAGTTTGTATTTCTTTTAGTTTTTTTTTTTTTTTTTTAATGCTAAAGGACACCTTATAGGATGACACAGCACAGGATGCTGCAGGAAGCTGCAGCAAGCTGAACATGCTAAAAACACAGCCCAGAATTCCAGGGGTATACTCCTGCAGAAGGCATCCTGGAGTTGATGCTTGTTTCAGTCTCCTAATAAGCCTGGTATTCTGCTTACTTTAGGACTGCTAGCAGTGCCACTATCAGGTTTCGTGCACTGTCCCAGATGTTCTTAACAATGCTCCAGCTTCACTTCTGCCTACAAACACAATCTGTACAATATTTATTCTTCCATGTTGTTTCCTCCCCAGACTGCACCAAATTCTTGATGCTTTGATTTTGGTCTCAAACCCGCTGTTTCAAGGATGTCAAGGAGTCAGTCTGGCTTTAATCAAAACTACCTCTTCCAAGATGAGTAGTATTAATGCTGATAGTTTTACATATCTAAGTATCTTTGCCACCCATTCAATGTAGCTTTTCAGACTGAATTCTCTAGTCAGATGCTTGCAGACATGTTACTGTAGTGCACAAGCAAACCACAACACAGACTTAACTTGAACAGAACTGCTGTACTTTGGATAGTAGAACTGTACTAAGAGTAGAGCGGTTCTGTCCAGCGAGACAAAACAGGAGCTTGGGCTAGAAAAGCTTCCATAGATGCATTAAATATACAAATAGATGCTTATAAGTCATTAACCTCAGTCCTTGTCAGAAAGACTGACTGTAGATTGTGTTAAATACACAGAGGCATAGGATAGGATTTTACATACATAGTGATGAAAAACATGAAGGAATCTCAGCCAAGATGCACATTTGTCTGAATTCCTTTTGAAAGGATTAGTGTGACACAAATTTATTACTTTGCCCTTTGATTGCCCTGTGAGCTTTTACAGATGCCTCTCTGAATCAACATAAATTTGACAAAAGAGAACTCTGTATTAATCCACTGACTTGTCCAGGGCTGCAGATATGGATGTACACTCATAAAATCTTACACTTGGAAATAGTTTTAGTTACTAAGGTTTTAATGGCCTCAAATGTGTTGTGCTTTCCCTGTCAAATGATTTGTTTCTTTTAAATGGTGTGTGGGCTTTATAGTCATAATTATTCCTATGATAGCATTTCATTCTCTATTGCTTTGCTAAAGAGATGCTGACCTATAACAACTTTTTCTTTCCTCAAGAGGAAGCTGTGAGATAGCCAAGTCGTGAGTAAGTAATGGGGAAAAGAATTCTCAACTTTCCATAGTAAGAAGCATGTAATATGTTTAAGAAAAGATTCTTGAAAAAATTGTGCAGGTGTTCTGCTGTTTCCAGCTCTCACCCTTTCCCTCTCAGCAGCGCTGCTGTAGGCAATGCTTCCAGAGCCCCAGCCTTGTCTTCAGCCTCCAGTACTGTAAACTTGGTCCTGAAGCTGCAGGAGAGGCCTCAACTTCAGTTTCTTTCCTGTTCATATCAATCTGAAAGCAGCCATAAGCTTTGCTCTACATTAACACATGCTGCTGGTTGGGCTCTCCAGACACGATTCTGTTACTAGGCAGGTGTTATTAACAGTTTAGGGCAGAACTGGCTTTCCTGGCATGCAAGCTGTTTTGTTTCTGCTGGGAAGGCAGAAACATGGATGATGTGAAATACTCAAGTTAGCACCTTGTGCTGGTCATTCCTGTTTCCTTGTTCGTTTGAAAGGGAGAACTAACTTCAAATGTGAGAGAACAGATACAGGGAGCAACGACCTCCGTGCAGCTGGAGCCCTCACCCTCTATCTGAATCATATCCTAAGTGAACACTCCATGTTATCAGCTGCAGGTGGAGCTATATGAGCTCAGCCAGGATTTTCCGCTCAGTTAAAGCAAGCAAAAAACCTCCCAACAAACCACTAAACATTTCCTCCTAAGATTGCATTGCATCCTCTATGTTCATATTCAACACTGTGAAAAGAAGGAAGGGAGTATTTTTAGCGTGACGCTAGACAGAAATTCCTACGGTGGAAGTGCAAGGAGGGCTAAGAAAAAAGGGATTTCTGGGTGCTTTGTTTTGTTCCCTGTCCCGTGGCTCTGGACACTCACCTGCCCTTTCCACCGGGAGGAGATGGAGCTAACGCTGCCTTCCGCGGGCATGACGGTCTCAGGTGAAGCCTGCTGAAGCCACCTGCCTTCGGTCGTGGCTTCGACTAAACGAGAGAGCCGGGGGCTGTGCGCAAGGACCCCCGGCGGAGCACCTCACCGCACCGCGGAAGGCCCCGGCCGGAGACTGGGCCCGCCCCATGTCCCCACCACCACCGGGAGCGGAGAGAAGGGGAGCCACGACCGTCGCTGGGGGAGGATCCTGCCCGCCACCCTGCTCCCTGCCGGGGGCCGGGTGTGCGGGACAGAGCGCAGCGGCGATGGCCCTGCTGCCGCGGCGGTTTCTCTGCTTCGTGCTGGGTAAGTAGCTGCGCACCCCCGGGCTCCAAACTTACCGATGCCGGGCGGGACGCGGAAAGAGCGGCGGTACCGTGGGGTGGGGGCAGCGGGAGAAGCTCCCCTGGAAGCCGCGGTGCCTCTGCCCTGCGAGCGGAGACGGTGCGCAACACTGGCCGCCTCCTCGGAGGCTTTACCCCGACCCGATCCTGAAATGTGCCAAGTCGCCAGCGGGGAAAGCAGGTGGAAATGGAAAGGAGAAATCATCTGAGAGCTCCAGGGCATAACAAAACATCTCGCTTGGCCTCTAAATATGTCAGATGAAGATGCTGTCAAATACAGCCTGTTTTGTGTAGGATTTCCCGTTTGGTGGGTGAGATTTTACTGAGGCGTGCTTGCGCGGGGAGACATCCTCTGGCATTTGTTTCAAAAGTGGAAATTAATTACCAGGAGACTGCTTTAGGAGTCTCTGTCTACCTATTTCTGAGCCGCAGGGAGAGGGCACAGCTACGAGTGCTTGTTCAAGCAAGCTGAGGTCGGGCATTCTGGGTTTTGCAGGTCATTGACTTTAAACCGGGTTGGAAATCCTGGCATTGCCTGGTTATTTTCTCAGGGTGCAGAGTGCCTGGGTTTCAGTGATGCTCCCAGCATTTCATATGCAACAGGTTGTGCAGTGTTTGTAACTGATGTATCCGCAGCAGAAAGCTTGGAAGGATCACATATTGGTGCTCTATGGAAGAAGTGTGTTTGTTTAAGGTTACGTAAAGGGGAACTGAGACCCTCGTCCTAACGCTGATCTTCCATGAAATCAAAGTGCTCTGTGAGGAAGCCTGGATTTCTCCTTCTTTCACTTCCTTCTTCGGTTTTCTCCTCCAAAGCCTGGTGAATAATGCATTGAGCTATGCTGCATGTAAAGGTCTTATCTGTATCACAGTTATCTATTTACTACTCTCTAGTTTGTGGTTATTCCCAGGAATGAGAAGTCTGTGCCGTCCATGCTTGGTTGCAGGGAAAGGCTTCGGGCTTCCTGGCTGAGGAGGGAGCATTCCCACACACAAACCTGTGGCTGATTTTGCTGACAGCGAGGACTATTAGTCTCCTAGTTAGTTAGTTAGTTAGTTAGTTTCCTGCTTAGTTAGGATTTCTGTCAGCTCTGTATTGCTAATTCCTTCCCCCTTTTGCTGCCCCTTCCTTCCCTTGGTTTGGGCACTGTAACTTTGGGAAGTGAAGAGAGCAGGAGCTGGTGATAACTCCAGGCTGCTCTATTCCATCCCCATTAGCAGGATGTCTGCCTCTGTGTGAGCCACTGAAGTGGTGTTGGGTGGTGGATGGATTGCTAAAGAAAAAAACAGAACAACAGAAATCCCCCGTTTGAGCCTTTCTTCTTTACACACAGAGAGGGCTGTGGAAAGGCAGTGAGCAGGGAGGGAGGATGAGGTTTACAGCCCTGTGCTGGTGTTTTTACTGCCAGCTCGTGCTTGCCACTGCCTTGGGACATGCTCTTGGACGGCTTCCCTGGTCACTGAAGAACCTTCCCAGGTGGCTGAGAACTTTATGAACGGCTGTCCACCTGCCACCATAACCTCCTGGCTGTACCAAAGCTGGGGTCCAGATGCTGGCAGGATCAGCTGAGGTTTCCTCCCATGCAAGAAAAGCCTTTCTTGTAAAGCTCAAGCTTAAAGTAACTTTGCAACTGGCTGCGGTGTCCCTAAAAAGCAGGGATGGTCAGGGTATCCACTGCCCTGGTCTTATTCAGCAGGCTGGAGATCCAGCTGTATTCCAAGGTAACCACTTCCATTAGAGGTAAAAGAAAGCTTTTTCTGGGTTTTGGCTGCTCAGAAAGAGGGAATGAGCCATGCTCTTGCTCATTGTTACTGGGAACAGTGATGATCAGCACTACACTGCTCTGAAGCCTTGTTTTGGTGTGTAAGGGGTTACCCGAGGGCTGGGTTTCACAAGGAGACTCATTATTGCTGGTGATGATGGATGGGGTGGGATTATGGTTCCGGAGCCAGGTCAGAGTTGTGCAGGGGGTACTTAACAGGCAAACTGTTATTTCTGCTGAAAGCCACATAGGTATATAGAGAGGTAAGCCCCTTCAGTGGCACTTCTGCTGTACTGCTGGCTGGAGGTGGTGCAGGAAAATGCCAGTGGCATCACCCAGTGTCCCTTTGTGCATCCCCAGGGATACTGGCTGGTGTGACAAGGGCTGGGCAACACTTCCTGCTTTCAGGGCTGTGGTGCAACTCACAACTATGCTAGCAGGTGGCTGGATATCCCACGGGGACAGACGTTCCCCATTTGCTGTCGCTTCCTGTGCCCGTTTCTGGTTGCACACAGTGCTGTGCTTTGCTGCTGTGGTGGCTTGTGGGTTCCAGATAGGTGTGCTGCTGAAAGAGCTAAGAGAGAATTGCAAATAAGGCCAGTAAAACATTAATAAATCAATTCATATCACATTGAGTTGCAGCTGGCTACAGTCAACACAAGAGGGACATGGAGCTGTTGGAGCAAGTCCGGAGGAGGCCATGGAGATGCTGTGAGGTCTGGAGCAGCTCTGCTCTGGAGACAGGCTGAGAGAGAGAGGGGTCACAGCCCTCACTGGCACAGACCCTGCACTGAGTAAGGATGGATAACACCATGGGGCAGCACCGGGTTTGAGGGAGAGGAGTTTATGGGGGAGATGTGGCATGTTTCAACGTGGTCAGGTAGCTAAATACCTTTTTCCCTTCTAAAATGCAACCATGACTAGGGTTTGCTGGGCAAATTCGTGCTGTGGATAGGTGAGTACCAGGGAAGTCCAAGTCCAGGGCGCCGTTATGGTGCTATGGATGCTGCTTCTGAAGCCATACTGTTTATGTCCAAATCCACTAATGAACCTGCTTAATGGTTTCGTACCTTTTCTGTGAGCTCTACAGCTTGAGCTTTTGAGGATGCAAAACCATAGCCTGACCCCTTGGGAAAGCATCCCAGTGGCACGTGAAACAGACAGCAGCCTGGGTTGAAACCTCTTGGCAGCGCTGGGTTTCAGGTAGAGGCAGGATGTGATCCCTCCAGGCTTCCCCATATACTTCAGGTATCTTCTGTTAGGAAAACAGCAGTGGTCTGTGTGTGTGACTTGCAGACAAGTGCCATCTCTGCACGTTATTCAGCTGGAAGGAGAGAAAACTGCATTGAGAAACCTCAGTTAAAAGGGAAATGAATTATCCCCAGGTTGCTCACATGGTTCAGCAGCAGATTTTAGCGTGGAAAGCGTATATGGACAGTATTCTGTTAAGCTGTTGCTATTTGCAGCCTATGAGAACTACACCAACAAGACAGTTTGGTTTTCTCCACAGTTAATTTTTATATATATTTATTTATTAAGTTCCTCTTTATAGGCAATCTGTTGGAATGAATAACGTTTGCCTGGGAACTGCTTTTTCTTTTTATTTCTAAGGTAGTTCAGTAAAATGGTTCATAGTGCCATGGACCAGAATAATTCATGTTTAACAGACACAAACCCGCTGAAACCTGAACCAACAGGATCGAAAGCGCGTTGTCTCCAAACCAATGCCAGGCGCTTTTAACTTTGGTGTTAGTTTCCCTGTTCTTATTATAGCCTCAATCAACTGAAATAGCTGAGGGAAGAAAATAGTTGTGGGGGTGGGAGAAGAGAGTGTTTGCCTTCAGAACATTCTTGAGTCTTGAGTGTGGTGCTTGTTTCTCCCTGGCTTTATCCAGTGAGACCAGCCCCGCTTTGAGACTGAGCTGACATCTGGCCCCTCTTGGCATGCTGTGCTTTGTGATGCTTTAAAAATAATCCTAAAGCATAAGTCCAGTGCTGGGTTAAGGTGTTGGGATGATGATGCTGGAAACCTCTGTCTCCCTGGGTTGGCATCCACTCAGCCCCTGATGTTTGCAAAAGATGGATGCCCAGAATTAAATAGGGATCCCCGGTTCAGCTCTTGGGGGTCAGCAAGTGGGTATTTGATGGTGCTAACGGTCAGACCTGGTTTGAGTTAGGAGTGGGTTAATGAAGGCATATAATTTTTAAAATGAGCCCGCTGTTCATTAAGGATATAATTACCTTTATAACTAATTGCTCATGACAGATTTTTTCCCTCTCCTGATTTGCAGTCAGATGGCAGTTGGTTTTCAGCATGCCTGGGTTTTGATTTCCTTCCTCCTTCCTCCCTTTTCAGCTGGTTTTGAATTTATTTTACTTAACACATGATTTTTCTTTTTTTTTTTTTTTTGGGGGGGGGAAGAAGAGTATTTGTCATTTTGCCTCACACAAAATCAAATCTAGGAACACATTAAGATTGAGTTCTGTTCCTGGAAGTATCCTTGGCTGATGGGTAACAAGGACATACTGTAACGTCTGCTAACACATGTGGGGAGACTGAGGTGGAGAGGGAAACTGAAGCAGCGTCCTCACTCTTTGAACAGCCTATTTCAGTGTATTTAGTAGTTACAATTATTTAACAGCAATACTATAGGGCAAAAAGTGAACTCTTTGTGACTCAGCTAAGCAGGACTATCCTGCACTGGGCTATGAGATGCAAAGTAGCAGCGTCTATTTTGCGTATTCTGCATCTTACAGGAGCTGTTATGTGAAAACCTCTATCAGAATGATCTTAAATTACCCTTTGTTTGGGCTGTTGCATTGTAGGTGCTCCATAAACTGAACTTGGGAAGAGGACTAACATAGTGCAGCAGTATCTCTGCTGCCCAAGTATCTCCTAAGAGTGGCAGGGATACAGCCTGGGGAAATAGTTTTCTGTGGGGCTTGTTGAGGGAGTTGCTGTATCTTGCAGTAATTTAGTGCTTTGGAAGCCTTACACCATCCCAAAACATTTTCATGTTTCTTAAGACTTCAGGAAACTAATCACCCTGATGTTCAGGAGAACTAGAGTTGTCTTTTCCCTAAAGAACCTAAATACTTTTAATCTGATTTATTATCTTCTTGTAGAAAAGGGGGACTTCATCCCTGTTCCTGGAAAGGTTATTCCCCTTCATTTTATTAGACAAGGCAAAATAGAGAT